CATAGAATAGTAAGGCATAAAAAGTCATATTTTAGAAACGCATAAAAAGTCATATTTTAGAAAAGCATAAAATGTCATAAAAACGTCATAGTATAGTAAGGCATTAAAAGTCATATTTTAGAAAGGCATAAAAAGTCATATTTTAGAAAAGCATAAAATGGCATATAAACGACATTGTATAGTAAGGCATGAAAAGTCATAGTATAGTAAGGCATAAAAAGGCATAAAAACGTCATAGTATAGTAAGGCATAAAGAGTCATATTTTAGAAAGGCATAAAAAGTCATAAAAACGACATAGTATAGTAAGGCATAAAAGGTCATAAAAACGTCATAGTATAGTAAGGCATAAAAAGTGAAAAAAACGTCATATTTTAGTAAGGCATAAAAAGTCATAAAAACTTCATAGTATAGTAAGGCATAAAAAGTCATATTTTAGCAAGGAATAAAAAGTCATAAAAACGACATAGTATAATAAGGCATAAAAAGTTATAAAAACGTCATAGTATAGTAAGGCAGAAAAAGTCACAGAATAGAAAGGCATAAAAAGTAATAAAAACGTCATAGTATAGTAGTGCCTAAAAAGTCATAGAATAGTAAGGCATAAAAAGTCATAAAAACGACATAGTATAGTAAGTCATGAAAAGTCATAGTATAGTAAGGCATAAAAAGTCATAAAAACGTCATAGTATAGTAGGGCCTAAAAAGTCATAGAATAGTAAGGCATAAAAAGTCATATTTTAGAAACGCATAAAAAGTCATATTTTAGAAAAGCATAAAATGTCATAAAAACGTCATAGTATAGTAAGGCATTAAAAGTCATATTTTAGAAAGGCATAAAAAGTCATATTTTAGAAAAGCATAAAATGGCATATAAACGACATTGTATAGTAAGGCATGAAAAGTCATAGTATAGTAAGGCATAAAAAGGCATAAAAACGTCATAGTATAGTAAGGCATAAAGAGTCATATTTTAGAAAGGCATAAAAAGTCATAAAAACGACATTGTATAGTAACGCATGAAAAGTCATAAAAAGTCATAGTATAGTAAGGCATAAAAAGTGAAAAAAACTTCATATTACAGTAAGGCATAAAAAGTCATAAAAACTTCATAGTATAGTACGGCATAAAAAGTCATAAAAACGTCATAGTATAGTAAGGCATGAAAAGTCATAAAAACATCATAGTATAGTAAGGCATAAAAAGTCATATTTTAGCAAGGCATAAAAAGTCATAAAAACATCATAGTATAGTAAGGCATAAAAAGTCATAAAAACGTCATATTATAATAAGTCAAAAAAAAAACTTAAAAAACGTCATAGTATAGTAAGGCATAAAAAGTCATAAAAACGTCATAGTACAGTAAGGCATGAAAAGTGAAAAAAACGTCATAGTACAGTAAGGCTTAAAAAGTGTAAAAAACGTCACAGAATAGTGAGGCATAAAAAGTGAAAAAAACGTCATATTTTAGCAAGGCATAAAAAGTTATAAAAACGTCATAGTATACTAAGGCATAAAAAGTGAAAAAAACTTCATAGTATATTAAGGCATAAAAAATAAAAAATAAAAATATCATGTTATAATAAGGCAAAAAAAATTTTTAAAAACGTTATAGTATAGTACGGCATAAAAAGTAAAAAAAACATCATAGTATAGTAAGGCATAAAAAGTCATAAAAATGACATAGCATAGTAAGGCATAAAAAGTGAAAAAAACTTCATAGTATATTAAGGCATAAAAAATAAAAAATAAAAATATCATGTTATAATAAGGCAAAAAAAAATTTTAAAAACGTTATAGTATAGTACGGCATAAAAAGTGAAAAAAACTTCATAGTATATTAAGGCATAAAAAATAAAAAATAAAAATATCATGTTATAATAAGGCAAAAAAAAATTTTAAAAACGTTATAGTATAGTACGGCATAAAAAGTGAAAAAAACTTCATAGTATATTAAGGCATAAAAAATAAAAAATAAAAATATCATGTTATAATAAGGCAAAAAAAAATTTTAAAAACGTTATAGTATAGTACGGCATAAAAAGTGAAAAAAACTTCATAGTATATTAAGGCATAAAAAATAAAAAATAAAAATATCATGTTATAATAAGGCAAAAAAAAATTTTAAAAACGTTATAGTATAGTACGGCATAAAAAGTGAAAAAAACTTCATAGTATATTAAGGCATAAAAAATAAAAAATAAAAATATCATGTTATAATAAGGCAAAAAAAAATTTTAAAAACGTTATAGTATAGTACGGCATAAAAAGTGAAAAAAACTTCATAGTATATTAAGGCATAAAAAATAAAAAATAAAAATATCATGTTATAATAAGGCAAAAAAAAATTTTAAAAACGTTATAGTATAGTACGGCATAAAAAGTGAAAAAAACTTCATAGTATATTAAGGCATAAAAAATAAAAAATAAAAATATCATGTTATAATAAGGCAAAAAAAAATTTTAAAAACGTTATAGTATAGTACGGCATAAAAAGTGAAAAAAACTTCATAGTATATTAAGGCATAAAAAATAAAAAATAAAAATATCATGTTATAATAAGGCAAAAAAAAATTTTAAAAACGTTATAGTATAGTACGGCATAAAAAGTGAAAAAAACTTCATAGTATATTAAGGCATAAAAAATAAAAAATAAAAATATCATGTTATAATAAGGCAAAAAAAAATTTTAAAAACGTTATAGTATAGTACGGCATAAAAAGTGAAAAAAACTTCATAGTATATTAAGGCATAAAAAATAAAAAATAAAAATATCATGTTATAATAAGGCAAAAAAAAATTTTAAAAACGTTATAGTATAGTACGGCATAAAAAGTGAAAAAAACTTCATAGTATATTAAGGCATAAAAAATAAAAAATAAAAATATCATGTTATAATAAGGCAAAAAAAAATTTTAAAAACGTTATAGTATAGTACGGCATAAAAAGTGAAAAAAACTTCATAGTATATTAAGGCATAAAAAATAAAAAATAAAAATATCA